TTTTTTTATTGATCACTCATTACCAGGGAGAAGTGCTAATCAGAATAATAATTAACTGAGAAGATAGTCATTCACTGACAAATGCAAGTGTTTTACTTAATTAGTTCTGAGGTGAATAAAAGGATTCAGTCTCTATTTAGAATTGACATTTGTCTAAACAACTTTATCAAATTGTGTTTAATTTATTTGCTAAATGCTGTTAACTGTGGGTTCACTTTCAAATGAAACAGACTATTTAATTTCATATTGTCCTCCAAAATTAAAAAAAAAAATACTTTATTTCAGAACAAAAGTACTGACTTAATTAACAAGGAAAGGTAATTTGATTTTTAAAAAAAAATGCGATGTCTGAAATCAAATAAAACCTGTACAATAAAACATTTCTTATTAAATGTAGGATGTAGGTCCTTTACTTTTTAGATAATTAAGGAATGTTCTATCTAATATTTAAAATGCTTTTGAGCCGAGTCCTAACTTTCCAGTCTGAATAGTCCAAAAGTGTTACAGAGTCCTTGTAGGTGACAAATTATTTTCCAATCTCTCCCTCACAGACGGGATGTGTCAAGCCTCTCACTGCTCTATCACTAGTTTCATGGAAAGTTCTTGGACCACCTGCATTCCTTGGTTCTGTCAGTTCTAACCTTTGTGGCCAGAACTTGCTATGCCACCCACATCTCCTCTGTATTCCATTGGTGAGAAGTTCTATTTGAACAGCTTCTTCCTATGAACCACTACTTTGTGGAACCGACTCCCGAGATGTTTCCTCGATCACTACAATCTTAACCTGTTCAAGTTTAGGGTTAACTGTTATCTTCTCCTCCTATCCACATCAACTACCTCTTACTGTAACCCTCTATCTCAATTGGCTCCTGGGCTTTGTACAGAGTGAACCTCACTGTAAAAAAAAAAAAAAAAAAAATGTATAGTTTTGTGAATATTGAGAGATGATAAAATATTTCAAAATGCTGTTGCAATATAATTTTGCATTGTAAAAAAAAAAAAAAAAAAAAAACTTCAGTTTACCTTCAGAATTCATTGAGAATTGAATTGTACTCTTTTTACATACAAAATTTAGAGATCACTTTTAAAACGGTAAAATTAACTCCAAGGAAGATATTTTTATGTAATCAAAGCATGATTGAAATCTTTAAGATTTTTTTGATTTTTTTTATATTAATTAATTTATTAATGGAAATTGTTTTGTGTATGGGCTGAATAAATATTGAAATGAAGGTTTCAATGTTTATTCAGCCCATACTTTGACACATTTTGCTAATCAGTCAGTTGAAATGATATAAAATTATATTGTGGATATATATATTAACTAATCTCTTTTAGGTTTGTCTACACTATTTGATAAAAATAATAAGTTAAAAAAAATTTAAATGTTTTTCTAAAAAAAAAAAAATTTTTTAATTTTTTGCATCTGTCGGTGAATGATTATTTTCTTTTGGTGCATTTATTTTTATAAACTTTTCATTTGTTGGCAACAGTAGAATGTTGCAAACTTTCAAGCAGAATTGCAGTTGCATGTAAAAAAAAAAAAAGAAAACCTAAAAAAACCATTGATAATATTCAGTTTGGTTTTTTGGTAAACTCAGCCAGAGTTCTCCTACCCAAGTGTTTGGGTGCCTTATCTCTACCCCTGGGCAGAATGACATACAATTTTGTAAGTAAATGATAAGTTTTCCTTATCTTAGTTGGTATATTTACCTCACATCTTTTCTCCCTTTCAATCTTTAATCTCTCTTCCACTTTTGACCCATGTACACCCATCGATAAGCTGACATGTTTCTTTTCATCACTTGAAAGCCTTTTCATTTTTTCTTTTGATGTTTTCTTTTTAATTGGTTCATCAGTCATTTTGAATAATAACTTCATTTATTTTTTTTTTTTATTAACAAAAAACAAACAAACAAAAAAAAATATTTGGGAGTATTGTCATAAAAGTGCATAAAATCTTTTTAGTGACTTATTTTGATGATAAAATATAATCAAGTACTGCTGTTAAACTTTTCAGATATTATATAGCTGACTTTTATAGTAATATGCACTATATGACATTAATATATATTGGTCCTTTGTTTTACCTAATAAAAATTTCAGAACATATCTAAATACCAATTTTCTTTCCATTTTGGGTGTAATAAGTAATACCATGTCCCTTCAAGATGTAGGCAATCATGACTCGCCATAGATTTTTTTTCTCTTTATTATCTATGAAGCCATGTATTCTTGAGCAAATGCAGTGGTTTCTTCATTGCCTTCTCTATGGTTTAAAATTCAAAGTTTTCCTTCTCTTAGACTGGTTACCACCCAAAGTTAGTCTACTCTTATGACTAGTGTGGAGAATAGGTGGATTCATACCTTTCCCAAGGGTATTAGTGCAAAAGGTGAACACAACAGACTTGCCTAGGAATTGAACATGGATGGCTTATTCCACTTTTTACACCAATATCTGTTATGCAATAAGTAATAAAATAAAATTTTATGACATTAAATAATGCTACTGGCAAGACATTCTCTAATATTGCATAACGCTGATTAACTATTTTCATGGTGTAACTTTTTATACATTTTAACTGAAACAATATTCCATGTGGGTATTTAGTTAGTTATTCCATGTGGGTATTTTGAATTTTATATTTTTTATTTTTTTTTTTTTTTTTTTTTTTTTTTTTTTAAGATTTTTTAATAAAAACCTGTAAGTGAATGTTTTTTTGGCAAGTTTGTGCAACAAGGCTTAACAACCTAACACTTTAACATAAAGATTTTTCAGTGCTTCAGTCCAGTGCTGTGGCATAAAAGTTACTTAAATATATATTTTATTCAAATATAAAATCTTGTAGGCTATTTTTCATTTTCAAACATTTTATATTTTGGATAGAAGATATTTTTCTGTTGACCACTTCACAAAAAAGGTTTTGTGAACCCCAAATTAAAATGATTCTGGGAAGATAAATATGAATTTCAATAATTTACATATTTAAATAGAATATATAAGCCTGTTGAAATTATAATAAATAGAAGGGAGATGCTATTATTCTTCTATCACTGTCAACATCTTCAGTACATGTTTTTTGTGTCAGTCAAGAATAGGACAATATAGATTCCTCAGAGGCTAAATAGAATTGCTGGAAATTGTAGCAGTGTATGGATGACAAAATGAAAACAAGGGAATTTCAAGAAGAGGACATTATGTAAATAACATTATTTAGTACTTAAGAGTTAAGGTAATGAAAATGTCAACATCCTTTGGTGCTGAATGTATTAAGGACTGAATAGAAGGAAGAAATATCTGGGGAAAACAATGTTTTCTTTAGAATTTCCTTTGAACTTTCTCCTGAACCCTAATCTTACAAATTGTTTATTTAAGTTTGTTATTATTTGTATATGTTATGTAAAACTGGCATTTTTAGCTTCATTAATGACTGCTTGAAATGTCTGGTATTATTTTCCATTGATCAGCTTATTTTAGAAGTAATGCTGATGTATTGATTCTTGCTGTCATTTCTTTCACTCTAATACTCTTGAATTTTTGTCTTAATTTCTCAAGTGATTTATTTTTAAGTATCTGGTGATGTTTCACCTTGTCTCATATTGCAAAATACCTTATTTAATAAAATTTGATTGAATTAACATTCATTTTTTTGAGAAAATAAAAACAGCAAAACAAATAGAAATGAAACTGAAAATTGAAAATCATCTGAATAATATTTTCTTAATTACAAAAAAATAGTCACATAGCCAGTCATTCTTTTATTGATCCCTCCAGAAATTGAATTTTTAGTAGATACTGTTAGATTCA